TCGGACAATGAGAAAAGCAAGAGTTCCGTAATTTAAAAAAAAAATAAAAAGAGTTTTCAACACACAGCAAAACATTCATTTGTCGTTTCATTTTTCTTAAATATGATAGTAGGCTTCCAATGTACTTGTTCCTCTGTGGAAGAAGGTCTTTGAACCAGGAACAACTTGCTCTGCCCTACTTCCCTCCCCAGCTGGCCTTAATGCTTAGCTAACACTCATATTTGCCTACCCCACATAGTTGTCAGGAGTGCCCTGATTTTGCATAAGAGAAACTCCTGGCCTCAGCAGCTGATTACATAAGGCCTAGCAGCAAGGCCTAGTCAGTTAATGCTGGTTTCCATAAACATTTGCACCTCCAGAGCCCAAGTTCCCTAGTAAACTCAGGCTGCCCCCAAAGCCCCTCTCCCGATTCCCAGAGGGAAAAGCTGGGCCTCATTGTGAAAGAAAGAAACCAGCAAAGCTGTCATCCTGATGTAGATGGAGCTCTCCCTGCATTACAGAGGAACTGGGAAGTGTAAATCCCAGTTCAGCGAGGACACCTTGTTCCAGGCAGATTTCACCTGCTTTGGATGGATGCATGTGTGGAGCTTCTTGCATTTACTAGCAATCCATTTTGTGTGCTCTTCATCAGTAAAAATGCAGGGGAATATACCTGGCTGTACAGAGGGGACAATAAAGACTGTGATGGAACAGAGCAAACAAACTGGAAATGAAGCTCTATAAATTCTGGGTTATTGACCTTGAGTAATGTTTTCAACAAAAATAAGAAAGCAGTTTTTGGCAGAAGTGATTTTAGAATGGATCGGGTGCCATTAACTTATGTCAACATTTGCTGTGTTGACTTTGCACGTTGCCACAGGGCACTGCTAAGGAGCTAAAGGTTTTTTGGGCACCAATCCAGGGCAACTCCAGGTAAATAAAATCTACTTTAGTTACTTTATCTGTATACAAAGTTGTCCGCTCTGCTTCCCGCTTCCCTGCTTCCCTCTCCACCCCAAACTCACACATTCACTGTGTATTTAGGCAGACCTGACGGCAAAGCCGACAGATCCTTTCTGGTCTAGGATGAACTGATTTCCATTTTCCAAGGGGAAATACCCGTCAAACGCTGCTGAGGTGGGCTGGCAAGACCATTGGGTAGGAAATATTTACTGCCATGCATGCGTCCCTCGTTTCGTTTTCCGCATTTCTGAAGTATTAAGTACATACTTCTTCGGGCCAAGGTTTATCACTGCATGTAAACTAACTCTAACGGAGCTGGACCTAGCGTCACTGATGGCCGTGCAAAGCTGTGCCTAGCTGCTGTTCTGTTTAGTTAAAACACAACCGACCCGATGCAGACTGATTTGGGGAGGCTCCCTCGTGCACCTCAGTATTGACCCAACCAGCTGCAGTCCGGCCCAACCAGATAGTTGCTCCACAGGCAAAAAGTTGGCATCCAGAAGCCCATCTTCAGGAACCAAAATGAGGTGCAGTGCTAGGAGAAGGGGCACAGCAGGCAAATTATTTTTTCTTGCTACTTGAACATTCATTGTTTTAGTTAGATGCCTCGGGTATGTTAGATAGGGCACGTCCCCGCCTGGAAGGAGGGCATGCACTTTCCTTGGGCGGGTGTTTTCACAAGCGACTGGTCTTTGGCTACTACCATCACAAAAACATAGAAACCACAGACTGAGAACGAAATCCCTTTGTCTCTGTTTATATGGGAATTAATTCAGTATCTATTCCAGTTTTCAGTCTTACAGCATAACATTGGCTGTCCCATGATGAGCTGCCACTTGCAGCTGCTTTTGCTTTTTACTATATTTTCAGTTTAAAACACTGTTGTATATAAGTACCAAGATATTTTAAAAATAAGTATTCCAAACAAAAATATGAATTTGTATTCATTTCCTTCAGCATATTTTACTGTTAATTCAGGTTGCTAGACTTTCAATATTTACTAATTGCTATCAGCATTTTATGGATTTCTCCTCATCACCTCCTCATTCTTTGAAATGGTTGTGTTCTTCCTACAGATGAGACATATGAAAACCATCTTAGCAACTTCTCTAAAAATTTCAACTGAGCAGTATTTCAAGGCATTTAATTAAGGACAGAGTAAGATACCCATCAATTAAAATTTCCACCCATCCAGCTGAACAGTTTGTGCTAGGATATGATCTTAAAGAAAATGATTTGTAATCTTAACTACAGTCTACAAAAGACACATACTGTACTTTGTAAGCATCAAGTGCAGTTCATCCTTAATTTTTTATATTATGGTGCCCGAGTTGTTCTGTCTATATCATGACAAGGCTTTCCCAAATTTCAAAGCTTTGTAGAAGAAAGTGAAATTATATCTTCATCTTCGTTCCTTGAAAATTTGTGTATAACAGTACTACTGCACTTTCTGAGATACTACTCTTATGAAACGAGCTGAGTTAAAAAACTCAAATCCCTCAAAAACAAATTCTACTCCTCTGACTGGTACCACTACAAAATAGTTGCGTAGAGCTCAACATAGTTGCACCAGCCTAAGTGAAAACAGAATCCACTTCACCTCAGAAGTACCTGTGAAGAAACAGGGAGGATCCTTATCTCTTTCTCTCTCTGAGCCAAATTAAAATATTTGAACTTAGCTGTTGTTGTTAGAAGATGTAATGCTTCTTGTTTTTCTTCCTTTTTTTCATTTAAGTGAGACCTTGAATATTGAAAGATAACATGAGCACAAGCCAGTATGATTCACGCAGTCCATTTAACTGAAATCCCTAGAAAAAAAGGACTCTAATTTCCACTTTTATCTTTTTTTTTTGAAAAAAAAAATGAAGACCTATTTTTATTTGTTTGTTTTTCCCACAAATTGCATATTTATATAAGGGTGTGTGTGTGTGTATATATAATAAGGGTGAGTATATAAGGTGTGTGCCTAGCTTACTAGGAAACGAAAGGCGCTGTCCATCACCACTCTCTACATGCAAGAGGAAGAGGCCAAATCTGATTTCTTAAAAAAAACACCTCCAATTTCATACTTTAACAGTTTAAAAATGACAGCAGAATTTCAGTTATTCCTGTACACAAGTAAACTGCCGTTGACCTCAGCATTGCTTTCTGCGTTACCTGCTCCTTCTGTGGGACTACCCGTAGCAGCGAAACGCTCCGTGCTGTGTGGGGGCATTACAGCTATCGCAGGCTGTCACTTGCAGCAGATGTGGCTGTGGAAACACTCGCGCTCTGGAGAGCAGTTATAAAGCAAGACACTACAAATACAGCTGCAGCCACACACTTATTCTGTACCTTAATTATTTGCTCATTAATGTCAGGACTCAAGAGCGTGAGTCATTAATATGAGGCTTGAGCTCCCAGGTTAGCCCCACATGAACCCAGCTAGAAGAAATCCCAGTTCAGCTGCAGCTCTAGGTCACAGATCGGAGAGCAGCCTCCTTTAATGTTCAGCTGCAGATACTATGGATGGCAGTAAATTGTAACGCTCATTTCGTTTGTTCCTAGTAAGAATTCAACCTGTTYGGCAGCCAGATAATTATTAGGTGCAGGCGGTAGGAGAGGCCACCAAACGGATTGCATAAACCTCAGACCAGTGCCACATAACGTCAGCAGGGCTGGAGGAAGGATGTCACGTCTCCTTCAGACCTTTCTCTTTCGGCACATTAGGGAGATTCCAACTGCGGCCTTCAAAACCTTGGGCAGCTCCTCCGAACTGCTCCTTGTGTTTGCCTCACTCCTAAGCAGCTCTCCTCACACCRAACTTCTCATCCGCTAATTTCACATATTAATAAACAGAGCAAGGTGTGTGCGTTGTTATAAATCAGTGTGAAAGGCACATCAGGACGTGTTTTTATACTCATCAACATCCCCACGACTTTCCTATTAGCCAACTAATCACTGCAATGAGAAAACAGGCMAACAGATGTCCTGTTTCGTGGGAGCTGCAGGTCAGTCAAACTAGTGCTTTCCATATCAGAAACCCTCTCCATCTTCCCACCTGGAAAGCAGGAAAAGAGGCAGAAAGTTGCCATCCATAATGAGAGGTCCACTTGCTTATTTTGGGTAGTGCTGTCCATCCCGAAGGAACAGGAATGGCATCAAAGGGACCATTTGATGGGTTGGCATCACAGTGTTCTACTTGCTGAGCTAAGCTTTAGATATCGAGGCTGGGGAAGAGCAGTCGAGATGGCGGTCCGTCTGGTCCCAGGAACCCTGAGGAGACCGGGGTTGTGCTGCTGGGAGCAGCACCAGCACCAAGTTGAGCYCCAGCACCAACCTTGCAGCCAAGAGCTCCTGTGGCCCAGGCCCCGGGGTTTGGGGGCATGCATCACCATCATGTTCCACCCCAGATACAAAAAAAACAACTACAAGAAAAACTCAATTCTCATAATTTTTAATGTTCTCCCTACACTGCTGTCCAGGTGTACTCCTCCTCTGCCACCATATTGCCAACAGAGTGACCACTGCCCAAAACAACTCCTCCATCACCATCTCCCCACCTCCTCAACCACCACCACCTCCACCTTCACCACTGCCACCACCTTYTCCTCCTTAACCTCCTTCATCTCTTCTCCACCTCCTCCATCACCTGCATCTGCTCCACCTCCATCATGTCCACCTCCTCCCTCACCTTCACCCTCTCCACTGCCTTCTTCCTCCCACTACCTTCTTCCTCCCATCGCCTTCTCCACCTTCGGCACCCTCCTCTTCTTATTCCTCCTCCTCCTCCACGATCACCCCCCTAGCTCACCTGGTGCCCCCCCACCCCTGCACCCACCTTCTGCACAGGGGTGCCCCCCCGACCCTCCCGTTTCCCCGCCATTCGCTGCCCATCCGTTCTCGCCCGCTTCCCTTCCCGCCCCGCTGCCCTCCCCGTCGCTTCTCGCCCTCCTGCCCAGCCGCAGCCCCGTGGGCGGGCGGGACGGGACGGGGCGGGCGGYGGCACCGACGGGGCCTCCCTTAAAGCCGGGCGGCCTCGGCGGGGCCTCCCTGCCTCCTTCCCGCCCTCGCCTCTCTCCGCCGGCCCCGCGCCCGGCCAGGACCGCGCCGGCCCCATGGGTACGTGTGGGGGCCGGGGGGCCGGGGGGCCCAGACGCGAAGGGGGCAGGCGTGGGGAACAGTGGTGGGCGCCAGGACAGTGGTGGACACCAGGATGATGGTCCCTGGAGCAACCAGCCCTGCAGAGCGGGGAGCAGAGCTGCCCCCAGCATGGGGGCAGACAGGCGAAGGATAAGGACCTGGGGAGCATGGGGTGCCCAACGGGAGCCTCTGAGCCGTCCCAGGGGCTGCCCATGCTGCACCCCATCCCCATGGCATCTCTCCTAGTGTCCACCACCGTCCTGGTATCACTGCTACCCACCCCCGCTGCCCTCTTTGCCCACAGACAAGGAGCAGTGAGTGCTCCTCGCAGCTTAAGCTCTCTTGCTATCCCGCGTGGAGGCTCCGAGTCCCCAGTCAGGAAGGTTTACCTTGGACTTGAGGGGACTCGCGGCTCAATATCCCCACGTGCATGAGACACATGGTGCCTCCTCACAGCCCTTAAATAAGCCTATTTTTTTACCCCCAACGCGGTCCCGAGCAGGGAGTTTGATCTAGCCGCCGTGTTTTAGCGTGTGCAAACGCAGCTGAAAGGCTYAGATAAGGGCAGCGCTCGTTTGGCCAGCGGATCTGCAAGGCTCCCGTCTCCGACGGAAGCACAAACAGCTCCGGGATCCGTCGCTCGGCTCCAGGGCCCTGCAGCGCCCCGRGCTCTCTCCCCACCAGCCCTCCCCAGCGATGGGGAGGCCTCATCCTCCCTTCACCCCCGGGGGAAGGCGAGGGGCTCGTGGCCATGGCCAGCAAACGTGTTCAGACGGGACGGGCAGTGGTGCCAGTGACAGACCGTGGTGGCCCTGTGGAGGGAGGAGAGCCCGGCCCGCGGTGTCTGTTCGTGCAATATCAGCTTCACGAGATGCTCTTGTTCTCAGAACACCCCCACTGGAGGGAGGCGAAGGGGAAATGAAAATTGCCCCAGAGAGGGGCTTACTCTGWCATGCCCCTAACAAAACCCATCGCTTAAAGCGTGGCTTTTCCCCCTTACTGAAGCTGGGGAGATGCTGGCTGCTTTGTGCTGTTGGAAGTACCACCTAGTCCTGAAGCTGCCACGCTGTGGAGCTGGGGGGATGCTTTAGGCTCCCCTGTTGAAACGCTGGCTTTAAAACCATCAGGAATTCCCTAATCCAAGCTGAAAAAGGAGCATAGTGATATGAACTCCAAAGGGTCTAGAAGTAAATATTCATCCTTTGAAACACTGAAGTCAACGCTCCCTGCCCTCCATTTGAAAGCAAGTGACAACACCATCTACTCCACAAAGCTTTTTTCTGTGAAGGTGGATGCTTTCACTCACCAGCAAGGAAACAAAACCCAGCCAACTTAGGTCCATCAGTTTTCCAAGGCTTAGTCGAKGCTGGATGAGAGATGCTCAGTGTGAATGTTCCCCATGTATGCTGGCTGATGTACAGCAGGCACCAAGGGGCAGCAGGAGCCTGGTCCAGAACACACAATTTGTGGTGGGTGAAGGTGGTCTGGGAGAGCAGGTCGCTTCCTTAAGCCACCCTCTCCATCAGGAGCACGTGAGGCAGTGTTCAGCAGGGTGGGCATGCGGTGCCACAGGCATGTGCCCACATCCCCTGCTCTGAGGAGGAGCTCCAGGACGGTCCCACGGCCAGTACCAGGGCTGCCCGTGTCCTGCATGGGGCTGAGGAGAGGGCCGGGGGCTGAGGGGGCTGTGGCATGTGGCTGGATGCACTGCGCTCTTCCCTCCTGCAAGGAGAAAACCCTGCTCCATTAGGTTTTGTCTGAAGGGTGGAATTAGGCATCCGTGCGGTGACCAAACTCACAGCTTCAAAGCAGATTTGTTATGTTCTGAATTTCCAATGCATGGAAAAATCGCAGAAACAGAATTATCACATAGTTCTTCCAGATGATGCTATGAAAAAATGGCAGTGTGATGTGTGTGTTCAGGAAATGCCACRGGGGCTGTTTTGAAGATAATCTCTATCACTAAAACTTTGATATACTCCAGTATGTCTGCTGGCATGAGTTGCATAAGGGACAGTGAACAATTTGGTTATGAGTATGTGACCTAAAGTTGGAGTCTGAGCACTTAAATTATTCGTTTTTTTTTTTTTCTTTAAGAAAGCATATTCTTGAGTTTTGAGCGTGTTTATGTCCGTAATTATTGTATTTTACCTTTGCATTTATTGTAAAGATACAGGTCTCCATGTCTGTGAAGGAAAAAAAGGCATTAGTTCACTTCCAGTGACTTTGCTTGGTATCTATTGAACTAAAAGGCAGAGCTGCCGTCAGCTATTTGTATCTATCGTGACCTATGGACTAAGCAATACTGATGTTAGCAGATCCATTTTTTCCTAGAATGGTCTGTTGTGGGCACACTTCAGCGGGAAGCAGGGATTCCAAAGTTCGTGTCTTGTACTTGGCCTTATCGTAAAGATAATGAACTTGCCCATGCCGTTTTTATGGGAGGTGCTGTCACCCGTTACACGGGCACGTGGCCTTTCCCGKGCAGGCTGCAAGCTCAGCCAGAAGGCAAACTCTCCCCTCGGGGACCTCCCTTTGGGACCCGCCTCGGCGCTGTGCTCCTGGCCCCTATCTCCAAGGCCACCTCCTGGAGATGGAGCTGGGATGGGTCTCTTGTAGGTGGCAGACCGACCCGAGTGATGTGCTTTGAGGTGTCTTAATGGGATGTGATGCTTTCTCCTGCAATAACCGTTTCTTTTTGCCTTCTCTTTGGCATGCATGTGAACCTACATAGAGTCCAAAACCAAAATAAAATGAAATTTTTCTACTGATTTCCTTGCACTAATAAGAAGTGCTCATTTAAGACTGAAAACTTGCTCACCCTGAGCATCCATGCGGTTTCCTGAACACYACCACACTCCTTTCATGACTTACATTTTGAGCTGAACTTTTAAAAATGTTTTGTGGTGGTTTTAAAGAAATGTTGTTTAGTAGTTTCCATTAACTTGTCTTTATTTTTTTTTTATCTCCCCCAGGAACCAAGAGTAAAGTCAAATCAGCGGTAAGCTTTGCTTCTGTTTTTTATTTTTCCCCCTCTTATTTTTTCCCTTTTCTTTCCTATTTTAAAATATGAATGTTGTCATTCTCTTTGGGTATCCTTAAATGGGCACMAAAAAAAAAAAGACATATATATATATAAACACACACACATATGTATATACACACACTGCTTAGAAGTATAAATTAGATAAATTAGTGAGCACACAAAAGGTCTAGATGCCAGCTAAGCACTAGCACACAAATCACCCCCATAAGGTGTCTGAAGAGCCTTTGCTGGACAGGCAGGTGTCAGTTTGGAGAAGGAGGATCCCTGGAGCAGGCCCTCCTGTTGCTGAGCTGCTGTCATGCACCAGMCCTCCTTCAGAGGTTTTATGTGTTTATTTACCTTTTATGCTAGTGTTTTTCCTCCTCAGTCTTTGGACGAGCAATGACTGCTGCCTCAGCAGTGCTATCTCTGTTTGCAGTTTTGCCTTTCTTATCTTGCAAGGTTTTACTCCATGGACTTTCCCACAGCTTTCTCACAGCCTAGCGGCTTCCTCGGCAGCCTGAGCCAAGGTTGTGCAGCTGGGCTCTATCGGATCCAGGCCTAGGATCCTCTAGGTAGSGGAATTTTGTGGAGAGGATCAAAACTGTTGCTTGCAGGTTACCTCTTCAGCGGTGGCTCTAGTGCTTTCTGGCCAATGTGGATCTCAATGGAAAATGTTGCAGTAGATGTGTGCATGCACATGTAAAGCACAGCAGAGGATTAAGAAAACAATAYAGTTCGAAAGAAGAACAGTATGTAGGTTATACATTATCAAGACATAACTATGCATTCTCTTCTTGCTTTATTATCTTGGAAAAATAAACTAAAGATGCCCATTTCCTTGTGGAGCACCTTGGCTTTCTCCTGCTAGTTTGTGGTGRCAGGAACGTTTGCATGACGCACTGCTCAGCCCCTCTGTGACASGCAAATCGCTGCTACAAGCTGGTGGCAGCAGGTAAAAATCCAGGAGGGCATCTCTGGCCCACGTGCAGGCACTCCTGGCTCAAAACAAAAACACAGCCTCTACGGAAACGTGTTGCATCACCGGTTGCAGCACCCGCTTATACAACAAGGGCTGTGTTGTGGCAGCATGAAACCAGGCAAGTTGGAGAACGCCAAGACAGAAAAGTTCTAGTGAGGCTTTGCTAAATGCCCGTGGGGACGGGCCCCACCAGCTCTAGGGCTGGCCTGTCTCTTTGCTGCACRGGTGGCAGAGGTGGGATGGACTCTGCCCGCTCCCAGTGGGGACGACCTCTCCTTCAGAGGGCAACTATGCCCATTGGCCATGGTGGAAACCAGCCCCATGGTGGGGGTTGCTGTTTGGGGCCTGGCCCCTCAACTGCTGGAATCCCAGCCTTTTTATTACCCCAACTGCTGGARTCCCAGCCTTTTTATTACCYATCCCGGTGCACTGTGTTCCATCTCCTCCAGGGCAGAGCTCAGATCCCTCTTCTGATCTTTTCCTGATGTCCTGTTTCTTCYCCTTCTCCCCTTGCAGGACGTCTTGTCTCATCTGCAGCATGGTGGCACAAACATCTGCATGTGGCATTAGGACACACATAGGTGTGTGGATAGGACCGTGTGACATTCAGCTCCATGTGCCCCACTCCACCAAAAGTCAAGCCCAGTCTAGGCTAGTCACCCAGAGCACCTGTATCTTCAGATGAATAATTTCTGAGATAATTTTGGGGTACATGTGGTTAGGCTTTCTTTGGAGCTGCCCCTTTCTGCACATGGAGAAGGGCATGAAAAATCAAGGGTGACAAAAACCTACTTAGGCTTCTAACCTTTATTGCTCTAAAGCTAGATGAGTCCCCCCTGGATCTCATCCTTGTCCCAAGTGAGGTTCTTTCAGTGAAGGTCATGTAGCCAAGCACAAATGAGACACGTGTTACTTGTTTGGGGCAGCTGATAGCCTGACTCAACCAGGAGGAGGACCAAGCAGCACTAATCATGGTTAAGTCAGCAATGCTCTGATCCCTGCCTAATTTTCATTTCTCTTGCTTATTGTAGCACACAGGCTTTCGTACACTTAGACCTCAGTGACTGATCTGTGGAGCCTCTTTTTGTGAATACCCTGGGTTCAAATTTTGTCATTTTAATAATAGACAAGTCCTCCTAGAAGGTCCCCCTTTAAATCCGCAGGTGGCCTGGTGGCAAGCTTGCTCATTAAAGCTCAGCCCAGAGTCTCTGCTAGTGATGTGAGCTTTCTGATTTACTCATATCAGGGCAGGGTTTCCTACATAAGACTTCTTTCCTTTGGACTGGTGAAATATTCTGAGATACGGATGGGTCTGATTCCTGGACCCTTATAACATGAAGGCAAATGAGACTGTTTTACCTCTGGAATGTTTTAACTCTCTTCCATACTAATCCTTAAAATACGCCTTACTTTTGTGTTACCATTCATTTTCATATGTCTGACACAAGCACTTTTGTTTAACCCAAAGCACAGAAGCAATAAACATTTAAAGACGCTCTTGTGTTTTTGATACCACATCATGATGACTTCTGATCTCTCAAGTCCTTGTGAGACTCCGTAGCTCCTACCTAAAGTAGTTGGCACTCTGATGTCCAAGTAAAACCACAGTTATCTAGATTTTCCTTAGAAATTATTTAGAAACATGTGCATCTGTAAGTTTGCTTCTTTTCATAATTAAATATTTTGTGCTGCTTATATGTGTATATTTTTTAAGGTATTGTAGGAATGACTGACCTTAACACAGAGTCACAAATACAGAGGTGACCCAGCACAGGTTGTGAGGCTTATTTAAAATTTTGATTTTGTAACTTGCAAAGTAAAACCCACAAAGGTAAACCTGGAAGATTATATGCAACTTACATTCCAATCATTTTGATAGAAATGCTGTATTTTCATCCATTTAGAAAAATAGATGGTGAGAAATTAAACTTCTTTTTTTCACTAATTGTGCCAAACTCTACTGGAGTATTTGTCAGGATGGGGAGCTTTCCTTAGGGACCTGTTTTARTTAAATGCTTTACCTGTCTTAATCAGAGGTATCCAACTATAGCCTTGGATTTTTAATTAATTATGGTGTCTTTTGGGGTTCTGGGGTGTGGGACTTCATTTGTTTGTTGTTGTTGTTCAGTAATGTTGAGTTTTTGCATAATTTTGGRTACCGCTGAGGTTACTCTGTTAGGGACCTTAAATTTCAAATGACCTGAGCATCAAACATAGTGGTGCTAAAGATCTCTTGCAAAGGGCAGATGAAAGTCTGTGGAGCTCTGAAGACCACTAGGGGAAAACAAAAATTGGTTCTTGACTGAGGTAGACCAGCCTGCTCCCAGAGTGRTCCATGCAGCTCCTGAATGGTTGAGTACCTGCACCCCTGTAACGTCCATACGGAGCTTGCCAAGCTGTGGGTCATGTTAGCACTGATATTTTACCTGCACGTTGCATGGCACTGTCTGAACTCACACTGTCACCCTYGCCTCCAGCCAAGCTGCTTTGGCTACCCCGTCAGCATCTTCTTCATCGTCATCAATGAGTTCTGTGAGCGCTTCTCCTACTATGGCATGCGAGGTACGTCCCACTTTTCGCCTTTCTTCTCACCTACCGTTGCTCACCCAGCCCTGATCCTGCCTCCTAACCCGTTGTTGTCTCCTGTRTCCTGCAGCGGTGCTCGTTTTGTATTTCAAATACTTCCTGCACTGGGATGACAACTTGTCTACAGCCATCTACCACACGTTCGTTGCTCTGTGCTACCTGACACCCATCCTTGGAGCGCTCATTGCAGACTCTTGGCTGGGGAAGTTTAAGTGAGTGCTTGCTCAGAAAAGAAAAATAAAATAAAGCAAAAATGGGAAAGTTCAGCTGAGCTCAACAGTACCTGAGCTGTCACTGTAGGAAGGGATTTGGAGCAACCACCTCCAGCTGATGTTGGCTGCTAGAATCAAGTGGGCTTTTTTTCCACCCCACATGGAGATTTTAATTGATTTAGCTCAAAACTGAAACATCGCAGCAAGTTAAGGAATATTACAGTTCTGTTAATCAGCTAATTGCATTAGTCTGCTTTCCAGGCAGGCTGTGTGTTTTCTTCTCATCTACGCAAAATGTAGCCTATAAGAAATGGAGGAGCTGTGAAAATGAATAGAAGCTGGAGTTTATAATTACATTTATTTGCATCTTTACCTCTTTCAGGTGGTAAATTGGTGAAATAACTGTTCTATGTGGTGTTAAGGGAGACTTTTAGAATATATTCCAAAATATTCTGCAATTAATTTCAATATTGATTTGACAGCTCAGTGGAAAGCTTTACTGAGTTGCAACTGTTTGTTCTAARTGATGGGTTCTGAATTTCTTCCCTGTGTGCTCAGAAAAGTAATGCTGGATGAAGTGCTTTCAAATGTTACAGATTATTTCCAACAACCTGAGCGCATTCTCCTTTGCTGATGTTGTGCTTCTAATAGTATTTACTTTGCCAGCGAAAGCACCATAAAAAGATTTTTATTGAGGGATATGAGTCAGGAATGTTAGCTGACTTGTCAAAGGTCTCCCAGAGATTAGAGATGAAGCTGGCTCTGAARTCAAGGTTGGCTACGGGCTGCAGGATCATTTCCTGCTGCGCTGACAGCCTCTGGGAGACCAGATATGCAATCACTGTCAAGTAGGCTCTGTGCAGCTGCTCTGATCAGTGCCAGCTCATTGCAAATAGCTTAATATCTTGCACGTTGTCCTCTTGTGCATGAACATGCCTGGATACAAGTTTGTTCACTTGTTTGGATGCCATGCTTTAAAACTGAAAAAAAAAAAGATAGTATAAGCCAAAATACACTTTTATGCCAGAGATTTCAATATCTCCAACAACGATGTTGTTGGAGATGAACCTGAAAAGATGAACCTTTTTTTTTTTCCTTTTTCTCTCTCGTATTTGTTTTGGTTAATTATACAAGGCTCTCTAAAACTTTTCCTTAAACCAAATAAACATAATAGAAATTGTGCTGTGGCAGAGGTATGCGGACAGATTTTTACAACAGCTCATGAAAAGCTACAGGTCCGGATCTAATGTGTATCCTCCTTTATTAAACSGAAATGTGTGTAAATGCTCTGTATCTCATTCCTTTGTGACAGGACCATTGTTTCCCTGTCCATTGTCTATACAATTGGGCAGGCAGTGATGTCTATAAGCTCCATAAATGACCTGACTGATGCCAACCGGGACGGCACTCCGGATCATATTGCAGTGCACGTGTGAGTTGTTTTGTACATGTGTTTTTCAAGCAATCTAATGAAGAGAGGGACCTTAAATTTATGCTGCCTAAATTATGGCTGCCTGTAAGAAAACTGTCACCACTGATGCCTATGCACCTTTAGAAAGTGTGCCTTAGGCCAGCTTTAATTTATGCATTGCACTTGAATGGTAGTTSAAGAGATGTGTAATCTTGTTCATGTGTGTTCTTGACTGCTTCTAAAGAGTTTCTTTYCTTTCCTGCTATCCTGCTGAGACATCTCAGTATGTGAAGAACTTAAGCCATGCTGACTGCACCAGTTTCTTTCMTGTGTTCCCACTGAGCATATCACGGTATCCCACTGACCATACAGTCTGCCAGGCCACAGACACTTCCCTGCAGCTCTGGCCTCAGTTCCCTCATCCTGATATCTGTGAGCTGTGTTTAATTTAGGCTGATGAACTAACTTTTGGTCTTAAAGTGGCAGATCTTTCTAGGCTTTCTCTTATGAGAAAGACAGGTTGATGACACTCATTAATGTTAATGCCTATATGTTGTTTAATGCTTCTGCTATAAGCTTGGGCAGTTCTTTCATCTAAAGAAGTGGAGTGATTTTTTTCTTCTTTGTCCTAGTGTCCTGTCCGTTGTTGGCCTGGTCCTCATTGCACTTGGTACTGGTGGCATCAAACCTTGTGTGTCAGCATTTGGTGGAGATCAGTTTAACGATGATCAGGTAACAGTATTTTTCAGATTTTGGYGATCATTTTTTAATCATGCATGTATTTGTTTGACTATTGTTATACTCTAATGATACACATATCTAGACATGTACATTCATATAGTGCTTCCTGAATACCTAAAAAAGGGAACTAGGTAATTGTTTTTTAACTGAAACTGCACAAGCTGATTTGCTGGTGGCTTGATCTAGGCTGATGAACATGACTCAAGTTAAGCCTTTCTAAAAAGCYTTTTTGTTTTCACTGCAGGAAAAACAAAGAACTAGGTTTTTCTCTATCTTTTATTTGTCTATCAATGCTGGAAGTCTTATATCCACTATAGTCACCCCCATTCTCAGAGGTAAGTCTACACACTTGTCTATGAAATGGTAAACAGCAAAGGATGAGTGTTGGGCTACAGTCCTTCAGCTCACACAATTATACAAGACAACTTAGTCTTCAAGTGTCTCATCCAGCTTCTCTGGAGTGAGATAATATCAAAAAAGCCAATCTGAGATGTAATTTGCCTTAGAGGTCTAGTATTTCCACTCCTTAGGAGATATGCTGAGGCTATGACTCTTTTACCTCTGTGGAATTAAACTTGCTTTAGGTATAAATATGGCACAAGAAAACTATATGAAAGATCTGAAATGATCCTAAAACACTGGAGTAAAATTCTGGCAATTGGATATTTTGACAGCAGCTGGCTGGAACAGGCTACCTCGATTGTATTTGAGATATTTTCTTCATGCAGACATCATCCTTCCAGAATGGAAGSAGGTCAGCATAGGCAGCAACGTGCTTCCATGCTGATATGAGATGGAAACCAGCTTAGGAAAATAGTTTGTACTCACAATTTCAGTAGAGGAAAGTGATTAACATTGCTTTCTGTAGAGCTTCACTAGAMGACTAACATAATAGGAATCAAGACAAATTAATTAGATGCAAGCTAATATTTTATTCTAATCAGGTTTTCTAACTCTTTTAGAAAGGATATTGTGAAAAGAGGTAATACATTTTATTTAGTTTTTTGTTATTCCTCCCTTTTAGTCACCACATTTGAGGATCATGAGTCCATACTTTGAGCATCATTTCAAGATGTGTGTAAAGTTTATAAAGACTCATCACTGACCAGTGGGGGATGTATTTGAGTATTTTTAAACAAATCACACTTGTTCATGAACAGAGATATAAGTTACATAACTTTCTTGCATTACTTTGCCTCTGAAACTTTGAGAGTCTAGATCCCCTTTTCTCCAAAAAGCTTCATTTGACCCTTCTAGCAAAATTGTTCTTATACCTCAGCAAAAAACTACAAATCCACATAATTCCCCATCTTAATAATGTAAATAATTTTTGATGCCATTGATAGCTTGATCCATTCTATCCATAATGCTCACAAATCATTTTTTTTTCTTGTGTCAATAAAGAATGCAGTGAAGGAAAATATGTGAAATAGTGGCAGTGCTCACCTGGACTTTTTATCTAAGGTTACTTTATGTTGTCCAGGTCAAGAATGTGGCATTCATAGCAAACAGCGATGTTACCCAYTAGCCTTTGGAGTTCCTGCTGCCCTCATGGCTGTGTCACTGAGTAAGTTGAACTGTTTCCTTCTTACTGCTTCATGGATACAGAAGGGATTAGAAGATAATGATTCAAGAATGAGAAAGTAGTGGAGATCTCTCAGGTATCCGACTCTACCAATACCTGATTTTTATCTGCAGTTGTTGACTTGAGAAGTTTTTATTTTATTTTGAGATTAACCTAAATTTCTAGTGCTTTTACAAAGATTTTTGTTGTTGTTGTTGTTGTTGTTTTTTTTAATTCATATCTGAATATCTTGGCATCACATGTCATAACTATCCCTGGAAAAACAGTAGCTGCGTACAGCATTTTCCATTCTGTCATTTCCTCAGTTGATGGCAGTTCTCTTAATGATTTTTGCACAAGGTTGCAGAATTGGGGTGGGGAAAGTGTAAACCAGACCCACCTCCTCTAGCCTATAATAGCAAAATASAACATTCACGTAGAGACGTGGAGCCTGTCAGTGGGCCTTCTTGGGTAGCATTTGGGTGTACTGTGGAGTAGATACCTGCAGAGAAGTACCCATGCATGATTGGCTGCTGTGCTTGAGAAAGCTAACATATCCTTATCTACTCTGCTTAGGGTGTCCTGATCTGGGCATAGCTTTTCTTTCTTCCAATGGTTTTGGAAGGACCTCAAAGACACCTAGTTCATCCCTGGCCTATGAGACCTGGTTAAGTCTGTCTAGGTCTCTATAAATGCTCGCCTAACCTGTGGTGATGGGGTGGTCTGTTTGAGGATTCAGTCTTCCCCTGAATTAAAAAGCAAGGGGATCAGCAGAAAGGGGTTGGAAGACAGCCCATTGAGCCCATTTAGCTTCTTGGTAAATTCATCTTGGTTTTATTTTATTATCTGAGAGGCAGAGAGGGACATAGATAAACCGTGAACCTCCTGTGTGCTGTGTAATTTGCTTTAGTGTCAATACTGTCCACTTGCTTGGACCACTGGGTTGTGTAAATTAAAGATATTTTGAAGGTAGTAAAGAACACTAGGAAAGAGTGGCTTTCAAGATTACCCTGTAATCCAGAGTAGAGTAAATGCCCTTGAGCTGATGAAAAGTAATTCATATACCATAACAGTATATCAGTACTTAGCATTTTCCTGCATTTTCTGTAGTGCAGTACACGGAAAATGCAGCAAATTCCTGCATTTTCAGTAGCGCACCACAAATTCCTCACTGTGCTCTTCAACTACAGTACCAAGACGGGGAAAAAAAGACACGTTGCTGTAAGAAGCAGCCTCTGGGGCTTCTCCCAAAGAGCATGGCTGGTTTGCACACAGGATCCATCGTGGTCCTAGCTGRGAGCCCGCCCAGGGCCCCTCTCATCCCTGGTGCATGAGGAGAGCTGCGCTGTCCTGGCCTCTTGAAAATCAACCCTTAAAGCTGCTCTAATGCAGGGCAGCAAGGCCAAAGCTAAGGTCCAAAGCAGGCCTTGTTTGGACCACAACTCAGCTAAGCCATCTTGCTTGCTAACGACAGTGGCCATTTGCTTTCATGGCTCCAGGCTTTTGTCCTTTTTCTTGAAAAACTAGTAGTGATCTAGTAATATTGTTTTGATTTCTTTTATTGCATAATAATATGCCAACAAGCACATTCAGCCCTCCTTAGAAAGTTTATTTCCTTCCTGATGTAACCCCTTTATTATGGTTTGCATGTGAAAACTTGTGCCATTATTTTCAATTAACCCCAGTTGTTTTCCTCATTGCAGTTGTGTTCATAATTGGAAGCRGAATGTACAAGAAAGTTCAGCCTCAAGGCAATATAATGGTTGCAGTTTCCAAATGCATTGGAGTAAGTAATATTTGCCTTTCTGAAAAGCCTYGCCAGAATTTACAAGCCTATTTAGTTATACTGATGGAGACCAGAAGTCTATCACACTTCCAGAAGTTCTGCTGAAGCTTTTTGACCTTCTCTTACAGCAGGCTTCTTACTCACACATCCAGATCTGTAGATTGCCCTTGTATAAAGCTATATATTCATGTAGGTATTAGCTTATACATCAAGGTAGGATGTCACAATAATGTTTAAAAAAGCTTCTGGGAATCATTCCTTCCTTATTTGTGTTCCTTAATGCAGCTCTATAACGAAAGAGAGAATCATGGATTGACTTGAGTTTAAGCTATCTTAAGTTTTAAGAACAGGGCTATTAGTATCTCTTATCAGCAAAAATTCATTGCTTAATAAAGAATTTACAATGCAGAAGTACATTGACCCCCACTGTGTTAGGGCACTAGTGGGGTCACTAGTGGGGTGGTGCAAGCTTGCAAGGAAGGGAGCTGTATCTGCCTGAGAAGTGCTGCATTTCCCCAACAGTGCCTCTAAATTCTGAGGTCAAGGGATTTTTTACATTAAATGCGCTTCTGCATTCTCCATGCAGATCTGCCAGACTGTTACTTATCCTCTAAGCATTGTGAGAAACAAATCTCTAAATGTGATTTTGGCCATTGATTTGAGTGCTACTCCTAGAGTCCAGCTTTGTTCAGCCTGAAACATCGGGCTTGCATGTTATTCCACACAGGAAGTCTGCAAACTCTTCAGAAGGAATGTATTTAGAAGGAACATATGCATTGATTTTCAAGAAMTGAGAAATTTCTACAAAGTGCAGCTTCCAAAATAATGAAATGTATCCTTGCACCTATCCAGCTCTGGCAAGTTGTTGATGTTCTTTTTAATATTATACATGGAAGTTAACTTTAAGCTGCCAAGTCTTCAGCAAGTTCTTAAGAGCATTTCATACTGAGGGAGACTAACTGTGAGCTGTTTTATCCTAATCCCACAGTACAAGGTCCATAACACAATATTCCTTTAGGTGCTTAGAGCAGTTGCAGAAGTCGGTTGCCTTGAGCACCCTCCAAGGACAGGAATCTGGTGTGTCATCTTCATAACTACCAAGTGGCTTATGGAATTGCTAATGCTTGCACGTTACAAATACAAACTCTCTGGTATCTCCTCAGTTTGCCATCAAAAACAGATTTCGGCATCGCAGCAAGGAGTTCCCCAAGAGAGAGCACTGGCTAGACTGGGCAAGCGACAAGTACGATGTGAGTATGACCTCCGAGGGCTCCTGCACCCTGACATTTCTTAAGCCCAGATTTCTGCTTATTGTGCTCTGGGCCATGCCCTGAGCTCTAGCTAAATTATTCTCAACTGTTGTTTCAATAGTCTCAACCACTTAGGAGGTGATGATCTGGCCAAACATACCTGCTCCCCTGGGTTGCAGGCTGCTATCATAACTCCAGTGGGAGAGAGCAAACCGATGTACAGGTCAATACTTGGATTGCAGGCTGCAGGGGGAAATTCTGTGGATATTAATAAAAGAAATGTTCATTTCCCATGTGGGACAAGTGCAGGTAGATATTAATTTTAAAGTTAGTAAGGTGGCGAGTGTTATCTCTGGATTTTTATGGTCTTTACCTTGGTAAACCAGCTTCAGAACAAACTTCAAACAAAAACGTGCTGCTTTAATGTGACTGCAGGAGTGAACAACAACAGGCAGGGTGCTGAAGGTCACAGCTCGCGCCTAGGGCCATAACATTTGTCTCGGGATCAAACTGCAGAACTGTGCTCAAGCAGCCAGGCTGGAGTGGAAAAACACTGTGTCCCCCTGGCCGCAGGACTGAGTTCAGGTTCCTGTCATAGAGTCCTTTAGGTTGGAAGGGATCTTTAGAGATCACCCAGTCCAACCCCCTGCTCCAGCAGGGACACCCAAAGCACGGGGCACAGGGCGGCATCCAGGCGGGTTGGAAAGATCTCCAGAGAAGGAGACTCCACAGCCTCCCTGGGCAGCCTGTGCCAGGGCTCTGGCACCCTCACTGTCAAGAAATTTTTCCTTAAGTTCCTGTGGAACTTTTGGTGCTTCARTTTGTGGCCGTTTCCTCTAGTCCTATCGCTGGCCACCACTGAAAAGAGGCCGCCCCCTCCTCCTCACTGCCTCCTTTGAGGTATTTATACACACTGATTAGGTCCCCCCTCAGCCTYCTCTTCTCCAGGCTGAACAGGCCCAACTCTCTCAGCCTTTGCTCATAGGGCAGATGTTCCAGGCCCCTGATCATCCTCATAGCCCTGCCCTGGACTCTTTCCAGTAGTTCCACGGAAGAGAGCTTTCCATGGATCTCTGTGTGCCTTGGTCCCCAGGCAGGTCCTGTGCCTAGATGCTGTGCTCTTATTGCTGGCAGCAGCACAAAAGCAGCACAAAGCTTGTTGTCTTTTTATTTCCTTTCAGCTACATGCATTTTCACATGAGATATATCCTCTATTGCTCATTGGTCAGATGGCTCCAAAACTTAATTTTGCCAAAATGCATTAGAAAAAACAAATCAATGCAAGCTGTAGAACTAGATGTCACGCTGCCAGCTGAGCCTGTCTGCCAGGAAAACCAGGTCTGTGTTACAAATGTCACCTTTTGCCAGCAACCCTTCCCGCAGCCTTGAGCAGACCATGGGCTCTCCACAGAAGCCAGCACAAGCCCCCCAACACACATAGGTCAGGACAGGAATAGACAATTTGCAATCACATCTTGTGTCTGCACCTATATCTGTCTGCAAATAGTGTCTGACTGATTCCTTTTTGTAATCTCTGCTCATTACAGAAGCGACTTATTGCTCAGACTAAGATGGTGCTGAAGGTGCTTTTCCTGTACATTCCTCTCCCCATGTTCTGGGCACTCTTTGACCAGCAGGTAAATTCTTTAGGCCACTTATAATGCATTATTCTGGGTCAGTGTTAATACAGAATGTTGCTACTGGCCACATCTGTGCTACCCACAGCTTTTCTTCAAAAAGAATTTTTGAATTTTCTTCAAAAATTTTTGTCGAATTTGTCTCTAGCATACTTGTTTAAGCAAGAAAAGAAAAGCTTTCATCAAATAGGTTATTCAGCGCTGGAAAAYGGATGGCACAGTATTTTAAAGCTTTTTAAGGTAAATCCAGTATTATTAAGCCTGCCTTGAGGAGGGGATCCGGCAGCAGCCGGCTTTGAGAGCAGAAGCTGTGGCACAGGGGAAGTTAAACATTCCCTCTCCCCCTTATTTCATAAATAAAATGTGCCATAAACATTGTTTTATTAAAATGTTTACATGGCAGAGTCAGAGAATGCACTTTATAAATTTTTATTATATTGCTTGTCTTTCCCAAGCCTTTCCTTCTGCATTTCCTCTGGAATTGTTTTCATAAGATTTTGACCGTGACATTTAACTTTCTGTTGTTAAGGGGTCAAGATGGACGCTGCAAGCCACAACCATGGATGGGAATTTYGTAGGTTACTTTTTACTCTTTTTCTTAATAGACATTTAATTTTCATATCAATTTTATTTGTTGTCATATTATTAAAACCTATTTATCTTTGTTTTTCATCAGGGAGCTATTCAGATTCAGCCCGACCAGATGCAGGTATAGTAATCTTCTGACTGACACTAAGTACTCCCCAAGGGTACTATATGCACTATAAAGCATGTCTTTAACATGCTTTAACATGTAATTTATATATATATGTATAAATATATGTGTGTGTGCATATGCATATGTAAATATATATATTGTTTGAATTGCTCTTCATAAAAATAAAAGGACTTTGAAAAATACTTTTTTTTTGCTCTTATTTTCCATTCACAGACTGTGAACCCAATCCTGATTATTATCATGGTCCCAGTTGTAGATGCTGTGATTTATCCTTTAATTAAGAAATGCGGGATCAATTTTACGTAAGTTTATGTACTTATCTGATTTCAACACAGACACACACTAGCGGTGTCTTTATTGCATTTAAAAACAGGGATGATTTTTTTGTTATTTTTTAATAAGTTAGACCTTTACTAGGGTCAGTAAGTGTCTCTCAGCACAGTACATTTCCCTGGTTCTTTTTTTCAGCTCAGTTTTATTTCTGTTTAAACATAGCAATATAGACATAAAAACAGACACAGACATAAAAAGTTGCTATCCTTTTGCACAGGACATCCTTTTTATTGTCTTGAGGCTAGCAACGATACCGGATTGTTTGCAAATAGGCAAACCCAGTAACAATTCTGTTTAGATAATTGTTAACCTTAGGGAAGAGCCCAGCAAATGCTAGTTAACAGGTTATGATCTTGCAGGCAATTTAGATTTCCCAGGAGTTTAACATGAATTAACCCTGAGAGCTACTAGGCTTGCAAAGTACCTTCTCTAACAGCATCAGACCTTCAGATGGTGATAAAGCGTTAGCTATGGTCAGGTTAAGGTTCCTGGCAATGGAAAGAAAAACTCAACAGGTGAAGCCCTGAATTAATGCTTGTCCTAAAACTGGTGTGTGCTCTGTTGCTGTGCTAGGCCGCTCAGGAGGATCACGGTTGGCATGTTCCTTGCATCTCTGGCTTTTGTGGCTGCCGCCCTTGTGCAAGTGCAAATAGATGTAAGTTCAGCTCCATGCATGTAAATAGTGCTGTTAATATTTAGATGTTAATACAGAACAGATTTTTTTTTTATGTGGAAATGAGCTCACCAACATGTAGAAAAGACTTGTAAATTATAAACCAAGCACGTGAATGCAGGGAAGTAGAGTGAGGGAGAATATTAAAGCATCTCGCAATGCAATGCAATCAGGGTAATAAAAGTGTCGACTATGAACRCTATTCTGCAAAACATCTTATGTATTATTAGTATAAATTATATATCTAGAGGGGTGGTTCGTTGCATCCAAAGATCTAAATTGTTGTCCAGAGGTCCCTGTCAGTCTTCAGGWATCATAGAGCCATGGGAGGGGACCAAAGAAGAATCTTATCTGGCCATGGACCCATGGATGGGATGTTGTGCATAAGAAAGCAGAAAGGCAGCCCSTGGTACTAGAGACTAAATCCTTTGCATCCCTATGACTGACAATTGCARCCCATCAGCAAGTGTTTAGCTTCCTTTTCCGCAGGACTTACAGCACTGGTTTCGCTCTTTTTCTCTCCAACAGAAAACTCTTCCTGTGTTTCCTGCAGCTGGGCAAGCTCAAATCAAAGTAATAAATCTAGGGTCTGTAAATGCAGCAGTTCAGTTTCAACCCGGACTGAAGAACGTGACTGTAGAATCTCATAAGGCAGTAAGTAAAAGAAGTGGGAAAAACCAGCCAGAAAATCTCTGGGAAGCAAGTTAAAGCTGTTCCTGACTAACAGTACAGAATTCCCCACAGTTACCCCCTGCCCTCAGTTTTTAAAATGTTTTTGTACTGCTGTGGAGTGAATTATTACTGAAAATACACAATGAATAAAGAAATAGCAACTATTTCAATATTCTAAATAATACTAGTATGTCTTAGGGAAAAGGGATTTTCTTTTCAAATAAGCTTCTTAAAAAACTTGGATTATTTTCAACAAACTAAAAAGAATCWCACTTTTGGAAAAAAAACTATTTTTTTAACACGAAGGACACCCTTTATTGCAAAGAAAATTACATTCAGCTCTAATAAATCACTGTTCTTACTGTAAGTAATCACATTCTTGAACAGGGAGGTTTTTCTGTACTTACATAACAAAGTTTCACAAAGAACTGGTTCTTTAATACTTCGTTAACATGTTTACTAATATTTTGAGTACTTTATTCTAATGAAAAGTATTTAAAGTATTTGAAATACCCTAGTAACAGTCACTTCTATCATGCTGAAATTTGGATTTGCATCCCTTGGGAGATGTTGCTATTTGTAAAATGTTTCCTCCTAGTTTGTCCTCGTGCTGTCATAATTAGACAGAACTTTGCTCTGCAGTGGCGATAACTCTGGTGGATCTGGCACCAGAAATGCACGTGTGCACAGGGAAAAGTAACAGCTTTTTCCATCATGCTTGCAAGAAGCTGATGCTATTTTGAAGGTTGTGCAAAGGGAGAAAATAATTGAATATTGATATAAGAAATTAATGTTTGAAGTTGAAATTATAGCAAAAATGGAAACAGATGTGTATGTGATCTCTGACACCTCAGAAATAGTGAGGTTCCCTTAAAGATGTAGCCAAGCTTGCAGTTGCGTGGAAATTCACATGGTTTTTTTTCTCTTTAGTCAGACTATATGATATTTAAGACGTCTGAGTTAAACAGTGTATCTGTAATGTTTGGAAGTCAAGCTGCAAATCCAGGGATGGACTTGATAGATGGAAAACGTCAGACTCTTGCTGTTAAAAATGTTGGAGCAACCGTTGTAGCTGAATGGGTAAGTTGGTTTAAATCCTGGAATTTGTCACTCTCTTATCCACTATCTGGTCTAAATACAGACTGTGTGAAGCTGAGAGGAGTAATTCAGGGTAGATTTTATTTTGTTTTGTTTTCTGTTATTTCACCCTGGGTGTTTYTTCCACCTGAGGAAAACCATACTGGAGAGTCTGGAGAGGGAAGAAAACAAGTCAAGCTGCTGTGAAAATGGTAGTATTTAACTTAAGCCTTAGTGAAACAGTCCCTGTGGTCTTGTTATAGCATTTTCCAACAAATATGTCTTAATAAACCCTAAAATGAGGTCTGGAGTCCTGCTCTGAAGCCTCTAATATTTCTCATTATATATAATATTGCATGCTTAAGTTGTTCACTGATGCCAACCAAATGTCTGTGTGATTTTCTTTTCCACCAGCTGCATGACAATATCACATCAAAACCAGAAGAAGGAAACAATCTCATCAGGTAAAAGGCGTGGGGTTTGTTTTGATTTTGATTTTGGGTTGACCCAGTGGTGTGACAGTCGCTTCAGTCTCTCCCAGGGGTGGATCCTTCTTTCCAGTAGGGAATCTCCAATTGCCAAACACATCATTCAGATGTGTAGGGGAGCAGCAGCTTCCAGGGCATCATACATCTGGTCTGTCATCTAGTTTATCTACCTTTGGTTTAAACTAGCTAAACCTTGGACATGTGTATTTCACTGTCAGTTCATAAAACTGAACGAGAAAGATTTAGTACTTGTTGGGCTGCCAGTCTATAATATAAAGAATACAGCATTTATTTCTAATATTTTATGAAATACTAAACAAAATATGTGTTACTGTTGTTGTATTTGAAAGGTTTATAAACAATATGGATCAGCCCATCAATGTCAGTATGGCTGGCACTCACTTTGGACCCCTGCCATCTCTGTCTGCCAGTAATTACGAGGCCTTTTCCAGAGGAAGGTGAGCATTTCCTTACTTTAATCCCAGTGCTTAAAGACATAGATGTACTTGTCCTTGGGAAGAGGGCACTGAATCTGTAGTTTTATATAAGGCACACACATGTTTTATACCTCTGGGCTGAAGCTGAACCTGTTGTTTTTTTCAGTAAAACTATTACTGCGAGCGCAAGCTCATTTTCTTGTGAAGTTTCCTCAATGACATTTGGATTTGGCAGTGCCTATACGATTGTAATTAATGGGGTGAGTTGCCAATGCAGTTGGAAGTACAGAATTACTTTCATGGTGATATTTTCTGTGATTAAGTTGTGATTACAAGTTGACTGTTGTACAACTATCCCTCTTGCCCTTGAAAAGAAATATGAAAATGCTCTCATATCTATAAAATTATCTAAAAAAACAGAAACTTATTTAATTATACTAAACTATGATGGCTTGTGGTAATGATAATCATAAGATCTCATAACTGATGGCTTTAAATCTTTAGTCCTTCTAGACACTAAGGATTTGTATGAATTCTGCTACTAAGTCCTTGGTACTTTATAACTCAGTTTGTAGTGTTTATACACAGTATTGATAATATTTTACTCTCCTAGCATTGTTTTATATATGATTACATAAGTGATATAAAACTGCTTAGAATACCTTTAGAGTACAGAATTTTTATCGCTTTCTAATRTGCTATTTCAATAATCACTGCTACAGTGTTCTGGAAACTTATTAAACACAACGTATGTTGAAGATATTCCACCCAACACAGTCCACATGGCTTGGCAAATCCCCCAGTATTTTATTCTTACATGTGCTGAAGTTGTTTTCTCTGTCACTGGATTGGAGTTTTCATACTCACAGGTAAGCTTTGCTCTTTGAAGCTCTCATTGCATTCAGAACAGTGATTTAATCTTCTACAAATGAAACTATTTTCTGTGATTTCTTGTTCTTTGTGTGATGGTTCTGTGTTACTACTTTGAACTACGGTGCTCTTTAGAGCCCCCCAGCAAGACTGTAGGCTGGCACAAATTGGCCTTGTTCACTGGTGCCTTCTGAGGAGCTATGCTGACTTACATGGAACCGTTTGAAGACTTGACCACAAAGAAGGTCCAAGGCACCTTCTCACACAAGTGGCTTTCCACAGAAAACAAGTGAAACCATGCTACTGCTTTAAAAACAAATAGGAGGGCCCATATATGGAAGGTGCTAGTACTTGTGCATTTTACCTCCATATTGAGATTGTGCTAGTTTAATTCTGTTTTCTTCTCATGTGATCTTTTGCAGAAATCTAATTATGTACTTTTAATACCTTTTTCTTCTGACTTTTCCGGCTGTCTCATTAGTTGTGTGTGTCTCTCACTCCTGAGTCTCTATACAGGAATGGCTGGATCATTGAAAGATGTTTGCCCCACTACAGTGCACTCAAATTTCTCCCCTTAGTGTGCACTGTGAGATGTAAAATGTGCACGTTGGTTCATTGTGCATATCAGCTGCACAATGTAAACAATATTTTACCCCTGGAAACCCAACATACCTTCTTTCCATAGGCCCCATCTAACATGAAGTCCGTGCTGCAAGCAGGATGGCTGCTGACAGTGGCTGTTGGTAACATAATTGTCCTAATAGTGGCTGGAGCATCCAAACTCAGTGAGCAGGTAAGCCTGGGGGCAGTGACCGTGCTGCTCTGCGTTAGCAGACAGAGGAGAGTCCTCGCTGATCAGCCTCAATACCACAGCTTCTGAGCATCTGCTGCTACAGGGGGCTTTGTATTTGTAGTTGGTGTATGTGAGAGATCAGCACATGAGCTAGAACCAGTCAGTTTGCAGAGCTAGCCTTAGACTGGAGCACTCARTTGGAGCACGTAAATAAAGTCAGCTTATGAATCAGAATGAACTATATGGATGAAAACTAGTGCTGAAGGTTGTGACAACGGGCGAGAAACTTGACATTTGGAGCTTCTTCTGAAGAGGCTGCTGGGCTGCTTCTCTGCATTGCTGTCCACCTCTGCCAAAAAAAAAAAAAAAAAAAATTATAAAACGCTTCCTCACCAAGAGTTCCTACCCCTTTGTCTATTGCTTGTCCTTCCTGACTCTTGCCTGGTTTGGTGGCTTCCCTTGAAAGCAGTAGTTTTTGGCATCTCTAATAGATTGTTCCCTGTGGTGTGGGAAGGCTCAAAAACCAGAACTTCAGCCTAAATACACAAGGTTAAAGCCTTGCTAAAGCTTTACCAACCAATGAAGCTTCACCCATGTCCCTCAGCCTTGACAGTCCCTTTTTTCTGCTGTCTCCACTGGTTTCAAACCTCACACCTCAGCATGTGAAAATCATGGTTCTCCCACTCTAGAAGACTTGCACAGGATTTCTTTAGACGCTCCTTAATGAATCAAAAGAGATGATACTTGAGAGATAAAGAAGCCCATCTTTGAAATAGGTCTGGAGTTCCTGACACCTGCAAGATTAATCATCAAGAGCATAGAACAGAGCAGTTAAACCTTTTCAGATGGACAGAGCACTTTGAAACTAGAGTTTCTAGTCTCACCATATGCTCAGCTTTGCTGACGATAAAAAAAACATTTGCTACTGCATTAGTAGAAGGAGGATCACTGCCTGCCCGGTTTAAAATGAGATTCACAGAATCCCAGAATGGCTGAGGTTGGAAGGGACCTCTAGATCATCCAGTCCAACCCCCTGCTCCAGCAGGGACACCCAGAGCACGGGGCACAGGGCGGCATCCAGGCGGGTTGGGAAGATCTCCAGGAAAGGAGACTCCACAGCCTCCCTGGGCAGCCTGTACCAGGGCTCTGGCACCCTCACAGGAAAGAAGTTCCTCCTCACATGGAGATGGAACTGCCTGGGTTTCAACTTAAACCCATAAGATTATACATATACCCATATAATTTTCTTACTCTGGAAGGAGAAGTTGAGGTTCTTCTTTCATCTTTCAGTACCGCTCCCCCACTTCCAGAAAAAGAGCTCCGTAGAACTCCTCAGCATTCACAGGACTTTTCTTGCTTTTCAGTCTCATACTTAGTCCATTTTTAAGTTATACAGTATTTGAGTGTGCTCACATTTTAACTCTTTTTTTTTTTTTCTTCAGTGGGCAGAATATGTGCTATTTGCTGCCTTGCTGTTGGTGGTTTGCATCATTTTTGCTGTCATGGCTTACTTTTATACTTACATTGATCCGAACGAGATTGAAGCCCAGCTTGATGAGGATGAGAAGAAACAAGCCAAAAAGGAGAAAGACCTTGAAAAGGAAGTAGAAGCTGTCTCTCGGATGTAAAACGTGTATTCAAGGAGTGTTGGAAACTGTGGTATCCCATTAACTGGCTTTGCAGTAAGAGGAACTGGGGTATCGGCAATGACCTCTGCATAAACTCTCTTTTGGGAGAGATTGAGAGAAACTGTTCTACCTTTTTAACTTAAAATGCAGCCTCTCTTGGGAAGCAAAGGGAAAAGGGAAAGTCTGTCTTGTACAGAACATGGTGCCCTGAAGAAACTGCAGCAGAATTTGCACTTTTAAAATGGACCTCAAGCTAAAATGCCAAAGCTTTAAAGTACTGAATTTGCACTCAGCACTCTTAAACCCTGTGAAAAGATGTATTTTTATAACGTGTTTCTTTTTTTTTTTTTTAACCATGAAAGAGGTGGAGTTGCCAGTAAACAGTAATTGAAGCCCAGCTGTCTGCACGAGCCCTGTAGTCCCACTGTTACTTGAAAGGTGCAGGTCACATRCTTTGGAAATTCATTGTGCTTCCTTCTGAATATCGGGAGCAAAGCTCTGGGATCTCTCAGCTCAGAATGCTGCCTGTGTTCCACGTGGCAAGAACCAGGACATGCAAAGCATCACGTAATATTTTATGTGCCCATTAATAGCAACAGCAATAAAATTCACTGTAACAACGTACTGGGARTAGCGAGTTTTCTTTGTGAGAAGAAAGGGTATGATGTATTGCTGTGTATGACAGCAAGTTTAGGTCACTTCTGGCCTTCAAGGGGACCTGTGATATTTCTTGGAGGCCTGCGGAGGCCTATGGAGGCCTACATCCTCCATAGATGCTGAACGGCCGCAAAAATGGGCCTAAATGACCAGCTCCTAACCCTCTACTGCCCACAGGGATATCTGCAAGTGGTCACACAGCCAAACAGTAKTCACTGACCCACACAGCCCAACACTACGCCCATGTTGCGGCCTCTCCCACTGAGGTGCTATGTGGTCCTCTCACTTTTGGATCCCACTCCTGTGGCTGTCACTTAGATMTCCCTGTAGAATAGAGGAAAATAGTTAGAAATGGGGTATAATGAAACAGGACAGACTGAACTCATCACATGTGGGACAGGGCCAGACGAGGTGCTAACCAGCGGTTTGTTTATACGAAAGCACTCCTTTTATTCCCTTATTCTTCTGTTATCCCACATTTGTTCCTCTCCAAACCGTTCTGTTCCTTCCCACTGCCTGTTCTTGATTCCTCCTCCAAACATCCCATTAAAAGCCTTGTACAATCCTGCCACGCTCTTCCCTGCACCCATATGAGCCCTGTACTGCCCCTTGCTGTGTGAAATGATGGAGGGAGTCTCTCCCCCAACTCGTGGTGCTGGTGCCCCCCAACCCTGAGGTGATGCTCAGCCAGGTCAGTGCTGGGCAGCCAGGACCAGGGATCATGTCTCCCAGTACATTTTTGGGGTTCCCCTGTCCCTGCTACTGTGCCCTAGTGCACCTTCACATGAAAGATGAGCCTGTCATGGTGTAGCCTAAGGAGATGGAGCACCAGGACACGTCCCTCACAGGCACCCCTGGAGGAACTGAGGGTTTGCTCTGCTTGTGGCTGAGCAGCCAAGCCTGTTGGCAGAGCTCCTAAGCCGGCCTCATCTTTGCCACCTAAGTTATCCAAGAAAACCTGTCTCTTACCTGTACCCAGAAGGACAGCATCTTCTCTCTGCTATTTTTTCTGTAATAAGTGAAAYGCTTATGAATCATCTGATCACTTTTTTTTCAGTTCATATACAGGGCACATGTCTAGTCTTTATTTGGTAAACTCTTAAAGTGGTCATTTTAGTGAACCCCCTACCTTGTTTGCCGTGTGGATTGATATGGTTTATGAATAGGAAACCACCAATGCTATAAAGGGAAAAGGAGAAGGAGCTGTTTTCTGGCAAGAAGCAAACAAGCTAACTAACTGCTCTACCAGCTCTTCAGACTCCTAAGATCATGTAGAAGCAGCATCATATGTGACCAGATTCTCTCTCACTTTCAGCATGAATTGATGTATTGTAATTAAAACAGAATCTGTGCACCTTCACATGCAAAAATTCATGTTAAAAGGTATATAAAAGAACCTTATAAAAACCTGGTCAGGTCTGGTTGCCATTGTGGTTTAGAAGCAATGTGCAGATCTTTAGACTGGAAATAAATAGTTTTAGGATTAATGAGGTACGCTTGACCTCTAAACTTGTCAGTGCTTATTGTTGCATACTATTATGTAAACTACTAGACTACTAAGGGATAGAACTGCTAGTTTTGCAAGAAGCTGGGCTAACCTCTGTACAAAGCTTTWAAAAAAAATTCTGTTATTAATTTCTTGGAAATACTTGCAGGTCACTGTTAAACATTGCTTCTCTATGAATCAATCTGGTGTTTTTCATTCATACTTTGACTCAGTGCTTTAGCATGGTGTCACTGACCATCCTGTAGAAATTAGAATACTGATAAAAAAGAGTAAAATTGGAGATTTAAAGGGTAAAGAAGAGATAAATTGTCAAAGGCCTCAACTTCTGACACTATGCTCAACAAGGTGGTTTGGGGTACCACCTCAAATGTAATCCTACCTTTATTACATCTTCATACTTAATTTGGATATCTAGTGCCCTGCATACYTATGTAATGCCCACAGGTGGATAACAAGGCAAGTCCCTGCCCTTTAACAGCTGATGTGACTGCACTTAGAGGAGGAAGATGAGCAAAGCAGACCCTGTGTCTTCATCATCTCAAGTGACCCGTGTATTTCAAGAGGGTGACATGAAGATCAGTGACCTCAGTGGGCACCTCCCCAGTCATTTGACAGCTCTCAGCAGCATCCTGGTCAGAGTGATTCTTGGGGGAAGAAAATGGGCAGAGGATGAGAATGCCTTGTCTTGACAGGAAGGAAGATTGGCCTATTGGCTTCATGAGTTTGGGGAGCTCAGGAACAGGGATGGTCTCGTGCAGGAGGGTTTCAGCGCCCCAGGAAGAGAGGTGGGTCATGGGGCACAAACTGGTGCTGCTCTTAATTTTGTAACCTTCATAGCTGCTGCCCTGCATAGCAGCTCAACTAGGCAGAGCCAAATCACCAGCGACCCTCTGTAAAGGATTGTTTTTGATGCGCTGTGGAAGSAAAGCTATCTGGCAACTTGCACAGATTGCAGCAACTAACTGGTACTGTTGGCTCTGTACTGACATATCAAACGTCAATTTGACTTCCTTAAGCAGTGCTACAGCTGCCACTGGATACATCTCAAAGGAATCCTAATTAGTGCAGAACCTAAGCAAATAATCTTGCTTTTGACAGGAGAAATGCTGGAAGGAAAAAGCTGGTGTACAATGAATGCTGAAATGGGCCTAAGAGCTTCTGAAAGAGCTGTAAGGAGGCTTCTGGGGTGAAAGTGGCTGTGTTTTGGGTAGCCACATTGCTGYATTTTGGAGGTGTATGTGTGTGGAGGAAATAAAAATGTGGAGCTGAGGAAGCAGCGTAGCTATAAAAAGAAAAAAAAAACAAATAAAAAGTTTTGGGAGCTGGGAGAGAAATAGAGCAGGGCAATACACTGACAGTCTGTCTATTCACTGTTGCAACCTCTCATTTGATCTTCTGCTCTTAGCGGTGCATAAAACCCTCGTGGGATTAAGATGATGTCTCAGCTGTCTGCTTGTGTGAAATCCGTGTTTGTCCCCCTGCTTTTGGATTTAGCTGACTGCAATTTRTGTTCCTGGCAGAGCTTCTTTCCATCATAGACCATTAAGGGCTATTTTACTCAAAACTAAATATTCATTCCTTACAGTTGAGAAAAATATTTCATTCAATTCTGATAAACTTAGGTTTTTTAAAACAGTGCTCCTGATGCCCTGCTGTGTTTCCCTAGTAGTAAAAAATGGAAATGTCTTCTACTTTAATGGGAGTCCTATTTCCTAAAGGTCTTACCTTACAAAGATGCTTCAAATAAAGGTTAATTAAATCGGTGCAGCTCCTTCAGGCTGGTACTTTACTCCAATAGGGTGCCTTGGATCAGGTTGATAACCACATAACCACATTGGCATTATTGAGCACATTTGTACTGAAATTTTTCCCAAATGTGGGATGGCAGCAGAGGGACAGTTCTGCTTCAGGAGTCTACCAAGGTTAGAGCTGTCAATATGCTATGTTGGCAAGGTCTGGATGAGTGCTGAATGGAGAAGAGACACATGAGAAATTGAGCATGGAAATGAGGGGGGGGAGAGAGAGAATAACAGGCTTCTGCACTGGCATCTTGCACCTCAGCTGTGATATGGGGTGAGGGATGTGATATTAATGACTACGCTCTTATACCCTGCATCAGGGAGAAGTTAGTGGTGCAGATCAGCTCCTCTTCCGGACTGGGACCAGATGACAGCCACTCAGTGATGACACTACTCTTTAGCTACAGGAACCCACACTCTTTTTTATTGCTGTTTTTGCTGTTTTGGTTCTTTTGCCATATGCATGTAAATGTGATTCACCATTTCTCCACTGAACAGGTCCAGAGAGCAAATGGCTGCCCCACCACGTCATGACTCTACGTGCAGCTCTACACTGATGAACTTGCTCTATGTCCTAACTCATTTATGGGGCACAGCTCTGAAGCGCTGCTCCATGCCAGCTATTTCTGCTTCAAAGAGCTTGGGCCAACTAGCAGGAATTAGACAAGGCCTGAGCCATCTCTGACCTGTCTTGAGGCAGCCTTTGGAATAGAAGGAATTTATTTGCTTTGTCCAGATTAAGCTGCTTGTTCAGTGTTTGTGCAACGTAGCTCATGTTTGTGACTACAGAGTCTAGGTACTAGATACTAAAAGAAATATTTAACATTTACCTACCATTACAGAGCCCTCCTTGCCCAAGCAAAGTTTTCCTAAAGTTCTTCCTTTGTCCATGAAACCAAGCACAGACATTGTGGGTCAGTCTGTAATTTACCTAATGTTATCTAATAAGAGACTGGATCTCTTCTGGCATGGAGCTGAGTATCATTTTTAACCACCAGATGGCAGAAAAAACACAAGAGTTGCTGAAAGGGGTGAGGCGTCGCTGGGTCTGATCCAGGCAAGAAAACCCATGAAGATCATTTCAAAATGATTTGTTTTTGAAATCAGAACAAAAAGCAGACACAAAAAGCAGACRCAAAAAGCAGATGAGGAGCTCAGTAAAGCTGATGAGAATCTTTCTGCTGATRTCGGTGTGCTTTGCCTGAGCCCCTGTGTGCACACAACACCAGCAGGTCACAATGACTGGTTGGGGCAGGTTAAGCACTGGACTTCTTCTCAAGAGAAGGCAAGAGAAAGCTATGACTAGGATTTGGGGTTCAGGAGGACAATGTCATTGGAGTTGCAAGAAGGAGAATGAACAGAATTGCAAGGAGATGCAATCGCAGTATTAAAATAAGAAACTGGAACCTGATCTAGGAAGACATTTGGTGAGTTCTGTACATTACATAGGGCAAAAATATGCGTTCAGCCCAAGTCAGCCTGTGCATGAGGCATTTAGCAGGATCATCTTTGTATTTCTTGATGGATTCAGAACATACAGTCAGTATAGATAACTCTTGGTAGTAGGTTATGGGCCTAAATTGTATATTTCTTACATAAACCTCATCAGAAAATAAATGTAAGCCTGCCTAGATGTTTTGTTTGGGCTTTCCCTCTGGCCA